GAGGCTTAAATTTTTTCCTCAGTTCTTTCAGCTTGAGAAATGCCAACCATGTTCTTCCCTTTTGGTTTTCTAACTCCAGGTCTTTGCACATTTCATTACAGTAATTGGCTTTGTCTGCTTAAGCTGCTCTTTGAGATCGTCTGTTCAGCTCTTTTATCCTGTCATTTCATCCATTTGCTTTAGCTACTTTCTGCTCAAGGGCAAGTTTCAGGGTCTCTTCTGACATCCATTTTGGTCTTTTCTTCCTTTCCTGTCTTTTCAGCGACCTCTTGCTTTCTTCGTGGATGATGTTCTTGATATCGTCCCACAGTTCCTCTGGTTTTCGGTCATTGGTGTTCAATGCATCAAATCTATTCTTTAGATGGTCTCTGAATTCAGGAGAGACATCATCAAGGTCATATTCTGGCTCTCCTGGACTTTTTAAATTGTCTTCTACTTCAACTTGAACTTCTGAGCAGCTGATGGTCTGTTCCACAATCAGCTCCTGGCCTGGTTTAGGCTGAAGATATTGAGCTTCTCCATCATCTCTTGCCACAGATGTAGTCAATCTGATTCCTGTGTACTCCATCTGGAGTCACCGTTTGTGTTGTTGAAAAAAGGTATTTGCAATGAGTAAGTCGTTGGTCTCGCAACATTCTATCATGTTATGTCCAGCATTATTTCTGTCTCCAAGGCCAAAATTTCCAACTACTGGTAATTCTTCTTTGTTTCCAACTTTTGCATTCCAATCACCAGTGATAATCAACACATCTTGATTGCATGTTTGGTCAATTTCAGACTGCAGAATTTAGTATAAATCTTCAATATCCTCATCTTTGGCTTTGGTGGTCGGTATGTAAATTTGAATAATAGTAACATTAATGGATCTTTCTTGTACACATATGGATATTATCCTATCAGTGACATCATTGTACATCAGGATAGATCTTGCAACATTCTTTGTGATGATGAATGCCACACCATTCCTCTTTGATTTGTTCATTCCTGGCATAGTAGATCATATGGTTGTCTGATTGAAAATGCCCAAAACCAGTCCATTTCAGCTCACTAATGCCTAGGATATTGATCTTTATGTGTTCCATTTCATTTTTGACAACTTCCAATTTTCCTAAATTCATACATCATACATTCCATGTTACGATTATTAATAGATACTTGCAGCTGTTTCTTCCCATTTTGAGTTGTGCCACATCAGCAAAATGGAGGTCCTGAAAGCTTTATTCCATCCACATCATTAAGGTCAGCTCTACTCTGAGGAGGCAACTCTTCCCCAGTTGTATTTTGTGTACCTTCTGACCTGGGGGCTCATCTTCTGGCACTGTATCTGACAATGTTTCAGGGCTATTCATAACATTTTCTAGTACTATATTAGACCATGTTTCATTGCTATTCATAAGGGTTTCACTGGCCAATTCTTTGATAAGTGCATGGCCTCTTCCTTCTTCCAAGTCTATCTTAGTCAGGAAGCTCTGCTGAAACCTGTCCACCATGGTGACCCTGCTGGCATTTGAAATACCAGCGGCATAGCCTCTAGCCTCACAAGCCAACACAGGGCGACAAACTGACAGATAAGTAACTTTTATTGAGACAGAGATAAATCCCACTAGCGAAGTGTTAAGAGCAGTGGTCACTAATCAACGTACACCAACAATGCAAAACGCAACACACTGCCATCAAGTCAGATCCGACTCATAGAGACCCCTCCTTGGGTTAGGTGAGTCAAGGCATGTATAAAAAATCAAGAGCTACAACTCGGTTAACCTGTAAAGCAAAAAAAAAAAAAAATCCTCATATCATCATGATAAATGGAGAAAAGACTGAAGTTCCCAAGGATTGCATTTGATTTGGATCCATAACCAGACCCGACCCATGGAAGCTAACCCTAGGTTGTTGTGAATCTCAGTCAGAAGCAACAACAAGGTAATTGGCCTTTGTGTTTGGTTCCTGAGCGAGTGCTAAGCTGCTGGGCCTTCCTGGGTCATCGAGGTGCCCTGTTTTCTATATGCTTCTGGATGACACCTGTAAGTGTATGCTAATGACGTGACCCAGGTGGGGTGGCTCCATGCAGACAGCAATCAGAAAGAGCCACCCACCATGGATTCAGATGCACCGTGGCTCCAGGAAAGCCTCAGGGCCCTGCTCCCAGCCAGGCACCTGCTGGGGACTCCCTCCTGCCCCTTCATGTGTCACTTACCTGGCATTGACAATGTTCCCTGCACTCAGCTCCACCATCTCCTCGAACCCCACAGCAAAGATGTCAGCTGGGCTGCTATCATCTGGGAAACAAGCAGGGATGGAGGGAATCAGAACTGGTACGGCCTGGCTCAGCCGACTCACAGGGAGCCCATCCGGTCCTCCTCACAGCCACACTGCCCCACACGGTGCTGCCAGCCAGGGTGCACCAATGCAGCCCGCTGGGAGCACAGGTTCCCGAGATCCCCTTTCCTCTCATCCTGTGCATGCTCACACAACATACGGCCTTCCCTTCAGTGCATCCTTGGGCAGCTCTGAGCCTCTCTGAACCTGTTTATCTGCAAAAAGGGTCTGTAACTGCCCCTTTCCAAGGTCCATGTAAAGTCTACATTAGATCGTACATTGTTATCATGCCTAGCCCACTGATAACACCCACTCCTTGATCTTTTCTGGTAACTTTCCAGTTGGAACTGACTCCACTGCAATGGGTGTGGGTGGTTTGGTTATCAGCCGGCCCGAGTCACTCAGTGCCACTGAAGGACTGACACTGTGCTGTGGACATGCATTTTAAAAGTCTGAGGCACCGACATACCTGAATTGGATGACTTCAGACCTAAATTAAACCTGCTTGCCTTTTTCTTAAAAAAGAACACAATACCAGTTCCTCAGCTTGACACGGTTGTCCACAGTAACTACAATTCTTCCTTGTCCTGAACCTGGTAGGTTTCTAGTGGGAGCCACCTCACTCACTTCTGTCCCCATAATATCCCTGCAAAGGTCTCAACAGCTGGTGCTAATCACCCCACTGTCCCCACAGGCCCATAAGGAGCAGTCAGTGTCACCTGCCAGGCTGCCACCACTCTTGGCCACACCTGCTGGCTCGAAGGTGGTGCTCCATGTCCTCGGCATCCATGGGGTCAGTGGTCCCCAGACACCACACATCTACCTACACAGCCCCACTGACACCAAGAATGTGACTCAAGCACCACTCTTCTATGGACAGGAAAGTATGGTGCAGGTGGGGCTCTACACATGGCCAGCGTCCAGCCTCCATTATCTGTGGACCCAAATCTCTCATTTACAGGCAATGGCATGGGGGACAAGGCTCTTCAGCCTCCAAACCGGCAGGAGAAGCAGGACCACTGGGTCAGTGCTAACCAACAAAATCCCTGAGGATCCAAATGCTGATTCTGAGGCCATGACGCATCATACTGCCTGATGTGAGACAGAGGCATGTGCCAAACTTGGACTTAGTTTATTCTTTGCAGGTATACAAACTCTTTCTTGATTGCTTACAACAGATATATGTCGTTGGTTTGAGAAAATGCAGGACAACAAGCTGTTCTTAGTTAGCTGATAACATTAAACATGTTTGGCCCCCATACCAGCAACTGCCAGTAACGAAGTTTGGTCAGCCACACCTTCTTACGTATGACAAATGGGTTCCAACTACCCAAACCTCAAACAGCAAGATCTCGGTATGTGAAAGAGAGGTTCACCACTTAGATAACTCCTCCAAACATTTTGAAAAGGGAAGGTGTCTCAGTCTAAACAAGCTACATACTCTATGACTCCAACTAGCTAACACCCCGGAAAAGGTGAAATAGAGACAGGATGATCAGTGGTGGCCAGAGGGCTAGGGAGGGGTGACAGGGCATTTTTAGGGTAGTGAAACTATTCTGCAAGATAATGCCATGGTGGACACACGACATTACACATATATCAAAACCCATAGGACTATATGACACAAAGAAAAAACCAAACTCACTGCCTTCTAGTCGATTCTGACTCACGGCATCCCTAGAGGGCACACAGGGCTCCTTAGGGTTCTAAGGCCATCATCTTTAAGGAAGGCTTGACTGCCTCATCTTTCTTCCATGGAGCAACTGGTGGGTTCAAACTGTTGACCTCTGGGTAAGCAGCTGTGCATTTAATCCCTGTGCCACCAGGGCGCCTCACAAGGAGTGAACCCTAATGTAAACTAAGGACTTTAGTTAATAATAATGCATCCATTAGTTCACCAATTGCAACAAATGTGCCACAGAGATGCCAGATGCTAATAACCAGAGACAATGTGCAGGGGCATACAGGAGCTCTTCATACTTTCTGCTCAGTTTTTCTGTAAATGCAAAACTAGTCTAAAAAGAAAATGCTAATTAAAAAAAAGAGAGAGAAATCGTCAAGCAGTTAATTTATTAGGCATTGCTCGGGAACATTCTGAAAAGTAAAAAAAGGGCCTCAATATTGAATTCCACAGCAACAGCTACGAAGATCAAACCTGAGGGGCGAGTGGGATCTGTGTTTTGTTCTCTCCCAAGCATCTGCTCTCACCCTGAAATTCAGCGACTCCAGAAAGCTTGGGCGAGTCCAGCAGCCAGTCGGCTAACTCCTCCGTCCCCAGGAGGTTGCTTCGGAACTGTTTGCCTCCATTGACATTCCAGGTTCCCATGGCAACACGGATCCGTTTGAAATTGGTGAATTCGGACTGCCGCTCTGACATAGCTTTCAGGATCCTGGGAGTCACTGCAGAGGGGAATAAAAAGGTGTATCTCTCAGCAGGTCGAAGGCTCAAATGTAGAGGGGCTCCTGTCCCAGGAAGATGGACCCACTTGCCTACAGACACAGCCCAAGACATGAGCCTTCTAAAGACCAAGGCTGCGGACCACAAAAACCATTCCATTACCTCACAGGATCTTGGTGATCATGTCATGAAAACATTGTTGTCAGGTGCCACTGAGTTGATTTCAACTCACAGCAAGCCCATATGACAGAGCAGAACTGTGTCATAAACCAAACCAAAACCAAACTCAATGCTGTGGAGTCAGATCTGACTCACAGAGACCCCTCCTTGAGTTTCTGAGGCAGTATCACTACAGAAGTAGATTGCCCAGTCTTCCTTCTGACGAGTGGCTGATGGGTCCAGCCTTCTGGTTAGCAGCCAGATGCCTTAGGCACTGCACCACCAGAGCTCCGGGGTCATAGTTCTTCTTTTTTAACACATATTTTTTGGTGGTCGTTGAGAATACACTCAGCAGAATATACAACAATTTATATAAATTAACACAATTTCACAATTTTTACACGTACAATTCAGCAGCACAGACTACAAGTTGTTCAACCTTTTTCACCTTCATTTTCTGAGCTGTTCCTCTGCCATTAACAGAAACCCACTACCCCTATGTTTTCTATCTTATCTTTCAAGTTGCTGCTGTCAGTTTGATCTCATATAGATAGATCTTGAAAGAGCACCATCCTCAAGGCAGACATTATTCACTAGTTAAGCTGAACTATTATTTGATTTCAAGAAGATTTCAGAGGGTATTTTTGGTTTAAGGTTTAAAGATTATCTCAGGCAATAGTTTGATAGTTCATCCAGCCTCCTTGGCTCCAGAAAGGCTGGAGTCCATGAGAAGTTGACACTCTGTTCTGCATTTTCCCCCTTTTGATCAGGGTTCTTCTATAGAATCTTTGATTAAGTGTTCAGTAATGGGAGCCAGGCACCATCCAGTTCTGGTCTCACAGCAAAGAAGGCAGTTAGCCACACATCCCATATCCCCCCCAGTCCTGATTCTCCTTCTTCCTCTGCGGCTCCACATGAACAGAGACCTTCAATGTTCACCTTCGATGGCTGCTTACAAGCTTCTAAGATCCCAGACACTACACAATGAACCAGGATATAGAAGGGAAGTGCTGAACATGGTATGATAAATTGGGTGTCCCATGAAACCATGACCCTAAACCTCCAAATCAAGGAACCAATCCCATGAGGTATTTGGTTGCACATAAGCAGCCTCAGAAGCTGTTCTTTCATTGCTGTTGTAAATGTATTTATTACTTTGCCCCATAGAGTTTTCTAGGCTGTACTCTTTATTACCTAGGCTGGGCTCTAGGTCTTTTTCTCCTGCAGAGCCTCTGGGTGGGTTCAAACTGGCAACCTTCTGGTTAGCACCTGGGTGGCGTAACTGCTGAACCCAGGTTCTCCCCTCCACCCCTTCCCTTGACAAGAGCCACAAGAGGCTGTGGGACATCAGACTCCAGGGAATGTCACAGATGAAGCAGGAAAGTGTCTCACCCGAGCATTCCCTACTCCACGACCCAGTAGACAAGCAAGGCACAGGAATGTAAGCCGGGACCCGGGCAACGTACCACACAACCAAACGCATACACCACTCATGCAAATTAACATGCAGGGACCCGGGCAACGTACCACACAACCAAACGCA